GGGCGAGTAGTGCGTATCGGTTCCCTATCGGCTGTCATGTGTTCGTGCGGGCGGAATATGACAGGATCACATTCATTTGCGCCGAACTGCACGGTGACCCAGCTGGACGAAGCATGTTCTGGGAAGAAAATTCTCTTCGGGAAGCATGCCAAAGCTACCTCGCCGAGCAGTTGTCGTGGGAGTTTGTACAAACCGGAAAAATTATGGGAGCGAACTTTTCCGCAGTCCCTCTTCAATTTGGTGAGTGCGTCATCCGACCCATAGCCGGAATAGGTCACGTGACGTTACGTGTGACGTTACGGCAATAAATAGGTTAAATCTGGCGCGGTACGGAAGCGCCTTGTTCAGCCACAACGTCACACCCCAGTCGGGTGACGGCATCAGTACAGGGGAACGGTGGAAGATAGGTACCTGGTTTTATACCCTTTATACAGTGAAGAAAAGTACCCTTCTGTTAAAAAAACTTTCATTTGCAGATTTCAAATCAAAAATTATCAGTTGAGAGAAGGTTTATGTCTTGGACAGTGATTTTTCTGTTTAGACGTACTTTTAGCCAAAAATCTTTTATTTTCATTAATCCAATATTTTGCAGAAACGGGGGAAATGCGATTTTATGACTTTCCGATGGCGATTATTGCCAGCGTCTTCCTCAACCTGGATGTCATTTCTCAGCTACGCATAGGCCAGTAAGTTAAGCATACTGTCAATTCGATTTTATTTCAATAGGAACGCGTCACTGGAGCCAACTTGGCTAAAATTATTAAACGCAGCAGTTATTGTCCTTAAGTTAACATTTGCTCCTGCTTGCATGTTTCTTTGAGCATACTGTAGTACTGTACAGTGTTTTACTGGTCGCTCGGTATCGCTTACAGGGTCTGCGCGTTGTGGAGGCTGATTTTACATGACTACGTCCGGCATCGCCACATCATTTTTGTCGTTCGTTCCCCTTCCGCAACGGAACATTGGGGTAGATCGGTACATGGCGCTTTCAGCTGTGTCACAAGCTACAAACTGGCAGCGATGCTGGAACGCACTGTTTCCCAGGAGACCCGAGCGGTGGCGCTGGTGGACGAAAGAACGCCGGCTGACAGGATATTCGACAAATATGAAGATGATTTCGCATATAATATGTCGACAATGCACCGCGTGCTGGCAAAGAAGCACATTCGCGTGCCCCTGATCATTGCCAAAAACGGCTATGAAAGCACGGTGTACTGTGGATTTCCCTTTTTGAAAATGGGACTAGGCGAGCACAGTGGTCAGTCTGAATGCGGCCAGCTAGTATACTGGATGGCCATGTGTCAAGACTTAGTGCTGATTAACTACACCGTTTCCGATCGGACGAGCGACTATCATATGTTGCTGTGCTACGGGAGCGGACAGTGGCCGGCAGGTGAACGTGCCTTCATGCGGCATGGAGACAAAGGGCGCCTGGACATAGTAATACCGTTTGCGTGCTTCCGCTGCACGGAGGCCGCCGCCAAACAGTGTCAAAGCATGATAGCCGCCGCCAACGACAGTTGTCCGGCCGTTACGCAGCGGGTGCTGGACAAGATCACGGCGGTGCATGCGCGCTGGGTGCGGACGTTGGCCTATCCAGAACAGTGGACCGGAATTCGCAACTTTCTTCAGGGGTGAGTAGACAGTGGCATTAGGCGGCGTTACTACCAACTCGTTGGGTTTGACCGCGAGTTTCTGGTTAATGTAGATTGAACGGTCTTCATCCGGATGGCAGTGCGCAGAGCTGGAATAATGTCGATCTGCGGCAGCTGAACGTGTCGACGCTGAACAAGTTGGCCTTTGCCGTTCTTGATGTGTATTACAACGACTGACGATTCAAAAGTTATCAAACCTCGTACGGACGTTTTAAAAGGCTGAGCCAAACAGTCTCTGTACAACATGATGCTAATGTGTCGCACCACAGAACTAACCGTTTGTAGTGCCGCAACGTAATGATTTAACCATTTCTGTCCATACTCCAGCCGGGTGACGGCAGCACGTACAGTGATTGCATGCCTCGCCCTTGGAAAGCCCCTTATCTTAACACAATACCATGGCTGTGTTGACTATGGCGGTGCTTTTTAGTTCTGACACGGTGGATGATGGGAACTTTCGATGTCTTTGTAACGCTGAAACATGTTACTTCCCTTGTTCCGATTTTGCTCATACTCATTTTATGTATTGTTTGTAAGTTGAAATGATAGCAGTGCGCTCCGAAAAATAAAATGCAGGGAATATCATAACACAGCACAGCGAAGGATGCGGTTTTTAAGATTAAGGGCTTCAGGGTTCAAGCCTTCGAAAACAGAAAACTTTTCCATACAATTTTGATACCCCATCTCCGCTGTGTCGATATGCAGTCACATGCTTAAGGAGCAGCGACGGAAAGGTATCGTAGCTGAAGTACGAGCTTTCGGTTCATAAATCAACAAAGACCCTTGCGGTCGTTGCCTAACGATATTTTACTGCTGCTTGACACAACATAATGCATAAAAGTTTTTTGAGTGGAGTATATTAATACTTTATGGATGGAGGCAGTATACTAGGGAAGTGCACCGCTATAGGCTGGCACTAAAAGACCGAAGCGAAGCGCCAAAATAAATATAGATATTAATTATTTGTAAGTACGTACTGTAGTTGTCGATTTTATTTGCCCGTTTAATGGCGTTTATCTTGCTTAGAAGACGTACTGTAGATAAGGTGATCTAAAAATCAGGTAATCTAAAACTAGGTTACCGACATCGATTCGCAAAACAAAGAAGAACTGACGGAATATGTACACTGGGAAGCGGGAGGCACATAAACGTTATTGTAATAGCATTTCATATATTTTAATATGATGGCGAGAGTGACCACAGAGCAGGCATGCAGCGCAAATAAGAACGTTTCTGACCAATTTACAACTCAGAACATCTTAAAATAAAGAAGCCAAGTTCACTGAAACCGCAAAACTCGTCACAGTTTTTTCGCTAAGTATATATACACATTTTCAAATGCCACCAAAAAAGAAAGGGTGACACTATAGCCACCCGTAACAACCCGGTTTTTTATAGCCACACATTTTCCGCACCCGTTAATTATGAGCTTTATTTTTATAATTTTTTAATTTGTTTATAGACACCTTATTTTCTTGTAATCACGTTAAGTGCGTTTTCGATTAACTCGATAATACTTGTATCATGATACAGTGCTGTACGGTGTACCTATAATGTGTGCGTTACGCGTACATAAGGAGCAGAAAGTTACCAGTGTCGCTCGTGATCGCCCGGTTGCAGAAACCACTCCTTCTGCATTGAACAAAATATATTTGAAAGGTGTCCCTCTGACAGCGTGCACAGGAATTCGTGGATGTGAGCACACTTAAGCCCTAAGGATAAGCGACAAAGATACTGGCCACAACCTACTACCACCCGCTCGCTGAGGAAAGATAGAGGAAAGTCAGGAAACAGTCACAGTTAACGACATCGCCAGCATTCGCATCAAAGGGGAAGCAACTAACCAAGGGAGCAAAGCTAAAAAAATGCAAATCACGAGTTAAGCGAAATCTGTGCCGAAAACCCAACGTTTTTGTTGAAATGATAATGTCCTCTACTGAAAAGGTCATGAATATCATTATTATTGCCCCGAAATGCAGAAAACTTACCATACGTTTCTTATAGAGCTAGAAAATAAAACGGTTACCTATAAAAACCAACAGCTGAATTAAATGCTGATAAAAAAAACTGCCTATAAAAAACAAGGTGCGAAGAAGGGGGTGGCAAACGGGGGTGAAAGGGAGCGCAAATTGTATTGCGGTAGTTTAGATATTATTTAAATCAAGAGGGACGGAGAGGCCCCAAAAAACGAATTGTATTACTATGCGCCCCTATAGGCTTCGGCGTAAAATAACTGGGATGCTGCTGTAATTTGTCGTTATTATGTACTTGGCTATGCTACGTCGTAACTTTTAATTTGTTCGTGCGTGACCGACGGACAGAATTATGCGTGACCGACATGACCGACAAAATGTCCTGTCTGTGTGAACATAGAGGACCTTCGCTTCGCTTCGGTCGATTATGGATTACGGAAATGCACATCTTCCATGTACGTATATTATTCACGTCGATACCACCGAGTCGTTTTCCACCAGTAAAATGTTCGCGTAATATTTTCCACCCGTAATCGGCAGCCTTATGGATGGGTTTTTATGGATGGGACGTTACATAAAATCTCAAATTGTTGCGTCTGCGATTATTTTTTGCGATCTGCGATCTGCGGCATGCGACTTCTCGTACTCTTCCTCTTTATCAACTGAAAACAGCAATGCACGGCTATTATACGGTATACCTACAGGAATACCTAAATTAAAGCAGTCACAAGACGATTAATCAAATTACCGATACCGTGTCGTTATCCATCCATTGCAAAATTTCGTCGTACCTGTGCATGGCCACTGTTAGTTTCTGTTTCATTGTAAAACAGTAACTCTCAAGTTTAGTGCGGGCTGCAGTGCGGCGCTGTTCTGCGTCGTCATCTTGGCGAAATTTCTGTGCTTTCTTAATCATGCGGTCCAGTTGGTCTTGCGTAAAACGACTGTTTCCGGTATTGTCGTTGTATGATGTCTGCCGGTTCGTTCAGTTATAGCCGAAAGACTCGGAACCTTGTTTGCGTCCACATCTAGCCAAACTTCAACGTCATCGTCTTCCTTTGCATTTTCAGAGTCATCTGTCGGCAGGAGCACCAAACCAAGCAGACTCTAACATCGGTGAAATTGTTTAGATTGATCACTTAGAAGTTAATGCAGCTATTTAATGACATACGTAAAGATGAATGATTTCTTTTTACGCCATTAATGACACTTTTGACGCGCATCAAATCTGTCACTTCGATAGAAAGCTATTGAATACAGTCAGCTAGCGTCTCCGCTTTGCAAGTCCGTTATCACGCTGTATTGGTCCGAATCGTAGAAAACATTAAACAGAGCAACGATTTTTCTTACATTATCCTTTGTCAAGGCTTGTTCACCCTCGTAAACCCTTAGTGCCGTCATCCCCGCATTGCAGGGCAACTTGCTGCGGGGGGGGGGTCATCTTGGTGGGGATAGTTGTGTGTTTCCGGATGATGGTTTCCACCTCTCCGCTGTTCGTTTCGATGCCGAGGGAAAACGGTACCGTGTCCCTTAACAAGATGTCTTGCAAACAAGCTGGTGTTTTCTTTCCACACAAGATAGCGGATAAAATCCCTGCGCCGTATGCAGGGGCCTCTTCCGGGTTGAGAGAGTGGTTCAGAGGTTTCCCATGAAAAAACTCCTATAACAAATACGCTTACATGACACTCCCAGTAAGAAAGTCAGAGTGCCATTGGTATGACCCCGGATTGTTGTCGGGAAATGTTCAGGTATAGGAAACTTGTACGCAAATATCCTCTCGTCCGAGCTTTATGAATGTTGTGTAGAGGTGTTTAAGTATTACTTAGAAACCCTAATTTTCTGGTTGTTCAGTGTTAATTTCTTATGAATTTTCTGACTGAACTCTGTAATAAAGTGATAGTTTTCAATGCTCATCAAGCGACGCACCCAGACTAAATGAACCAATTGCTAGAAAAGTGAGCAAGCAAGGTACGCCTGAAGATCAGCGAATCTGCATAGCAGCGAAAGTGCGGTTGCACCTAGTTTTCCAGGTTATGTTGAATTAAGGCACTGCGATAATTCAACATAACCTGGAAAACTAGGTGTGCAGTAGGTCATATTGATCATAACCCCAAAACACTTTTTGATGACAGCTGTGCACTAGTCGCGCGGTCATTCATGCATCCGTCGCATCAGACAGTCCCAGTGTTAGATCACGTCCCCGTGCTACGTCAAAAGGAGCGCGTCTTGCCCTCTTTGTATGTTGTCGACAATTGTGAACTACTGTATGTACCTGAAGCAGTTCTTGGATTTTTGGTATACGAGTTGAGCCACCAACTAGGACAATGTCATGGACTTCACTCCGATCCATTTTAGCGTCTTTTAACGCTCTCTCAACAAGATTTAACGCTTTCTGGAACAAGTCAGCATTCAGCTCCTCAAGGCGCACACGGGAAATGCTACTGAAGAAGCCGTTATTGTCTTGAAGGGAATCATTATCTATCCTGCCGAAAAAAAGAAACATTTTCGTGGCGTTGACTAAAATTACAGAATTGTAGGCCGTAAAATAATTATTGCCTCGGTTCCAATCACATCTTCTTGGGTCATCTTTTGGGTGTACACAGCTGGGCACATAACCTAATAGTTACGCTAATGATATTTAATACGATCTCGCCAAGGAATCCACGTTGCCTCGCGATCGTGCTGAAAGACAGCTTCCGTGTTGTCTCGTTTATATTTAATTGTAAGCTTAAACTCCTGACGAAAGTGTTCGATCAAACGGTTTTCAAACTCAAAGCCGCCCAGGTGATTGTCTCCAGCGCTGGACTTAACTTCAACAATGTCGAATTCAATGGTAATAACAGGAACACTACAAGCGCCGGCGCCTAGACTGAAGACGACTACGTTGCGCTCGTCTTTGGTCTGCAAAGGCAAAATTTATAAAGAAAATGGAAAACAACGTCGTGCTAGTTTTTGAGTTGTTTTATGTTGTTTAATGCTCTGCAAAGATTAAAGCTACGTCGTGCTAGTTTTCATAAGTTGCTTCGTGTTGTATAGTGCTCTGCAATTTTTGCAAGCATCGCTATTAAAATATTTTGAATAAAATATTGCTTGCTTCTCCTTTGTGTAATAATACAGAGTTTGTGACAAAAACACCATGAATTACGTTTTCTGCAGTACCGATGAGTCCAATGCAGTCAGAGCCAACGCTGCCGCTGTCGACTTGCTTATCATTCGGGACTTTCGGATGATGTGAACACCCGCAATAGTGGCTGTGTCGGTCACAGCTTGGCGTTGTTCCGTGGGAAAGTTGACCGGCGCAGTCAGGACGATATCATTAACCCGCATCCCAAGAACTTTCTGCGATGTATGATCCTGTATCCACCATCTTTCTCACAAGTACCGCGATAATCTCTTCGGGAAAGAGTTCCTCGGTCCTTCCGTTGTGGGTCACACTGACTTTGGGGTCGTTATCGTCATTGGGTAGGTGGAAGGGCCAGTACCTTATGGCGCTCTGCAATTCAGGATCATCCCAGTTGCGCCCGAGCAACCGCATGACACCAAAGACTGTTTTCCCGTTTTCTTGATCCTGTAGCGTTTTATATAGCGTTAACAAATACAAATCAGGCGAAATCAAGGCAAGCAACGGACTCAAATCTGCGCGACAGTTATTGCAACGCTGACTATCAAACTGACTGATAATATCGTCGTACTATAAAAAATATTCTTAAAATATAATGAATAAATTGCAGTAAATGCGCCCCTCGAAGCTCTGCAGCGGGCGGCATCGCCGGTTGATCGCTCTGTATCAGCAAAGGACACGTATGCAGGCCTGATGCGCTGGCTATGGTTGTTCGCAAGAATTTCGATGTTTTCCTGAAATTTAAATGGCATGTTTATCTTGTGACTACCCTTTACGGTAATGAAACTAAACAGCGTTTGTAACCGTCCAAAAAAACCGGTCGTCTGAGACGACCGCCGGTCGTTTCAGCCTCTAAACCGTCCGAAACGACCGGGGGCCGCCAAAACGAGAGATTCTATATTCTAAAACATATTCTATGGCCAAAACGACCGCCATAAATTTTGCCCTACCAGTTTTTTTCGCTCTTTCAGTCGCAAACAAAACGAATGAACGCAATTTCGTGTCTGGTCGTTTCTGCCGGAGTGTAATTTTTAATTCGGTCGCTTCTGCCGGAATGTACTTTTGTGTCCGGTCGTTACTGCCGGAGTGTACTTTCGTGTCCGGTCGTTACTGCCGGAGTGTACTATTCCTGTCCGGTCGTTTCTCCCGGAGTGTACTTTCGTGTCCGGTAGTTCCTGCCGGAGTGTACTTTCGTATTCGGTCGTTTCTGCCGGAGTGTAATTTCATATTCCGCCGTTTCTGCCGGAGTGTAATTTCGCATTCGGCCGCTTCTGCCGGAGTGTGCTTTCGTGTCCGGTCGTTTCTGCCAGAGTGTAAATTCGTATTCGGTCGCTTCTGTTGGAGTGTATTTTCGTGTCCGGTCGTTTCTGCCGGAGTGTGGAAACTCTCCAGTTGAAACGACCGGACACGAAATTACACTCCGTCAGAAGTGGCCGAATGCGAAATTACACTCCGGCAGAAGCAACAGAAAACGAAATTACACTGCGGCAGTAACGACCGGACACAAAAGTACATTTCGGCAGAAATGACCGGAGACGAAAGTACACTCCGGCAGAAGCGACCGAATACGAATTTACACTCTGGCAGAAACGACCGGACCCGAAAGTACACTCCGGCAGAAGTGGCCGAATGCGAAATTACACTCCGGCAGAAGCAACAGAAAACGAAATTACACTCCGGCAGTAACGACCGGACACAAAAGTACATTCCGGCAGAAACGACCGGGCACGAAAGTACACTCCGGCAGAAACGACCAGACACGAAATTGCATTCATTCGTTTTGTTTGCGACTGAAAGAGCGAAAAAAACTGGTAGGGCAAAATTTACGGCGGTCGTTTTGGCGGCCCCCGGTCGTTTCGAACGGTTTAGAGGCTGAAACGACCGGCGGTCGTCTCTGACGACCGGTCGTTTTGGACGGTTACAAGCGTTCACTTTCCTTACCTGGTGTTCGGCCACACATAAGTGCGCGGATCCTAATGCGATGCCAACAACCGGAGCGCGCGGCATGTTTGTCAAGTTAAAAATATTCACTGATAAAAGTCAAAATAATGTACGGTCTGCGACTTGGAACCCAAAGCAAAGCCGGTGGATATTAAAAAGCAGTTGCACGGATGATGACTTACGAGATCTAATAATCATTGCTATCCTACAACCGTGCCGTGTATGATAGGAACGACTGACCGCTTTATATTAAAGAAATTCTTCTGTAACAGTTTTAACAATTATATACTCTGGAATTTCATGGCACTGCTGAACTGATTCTTCGTACTACTATAAAACAGACATTCATTCATGCTGGTGTCTTCTTTCTATATCTTCAGATAAGTCAACAGCGTATGACTGGTTAATGTCGATTGACAATTGGGAAAGACAATTTACAAACACAGGATATATTATTTTTATTAACAGTCTTTATGAAGTATCGTCATGTAAGTACAAACTGAGTACTAAAAAGATGAGATTTATAACAAAAACATTTCTTGAATGCTAACCTGCTCGGGGATTGTACCTATAACACATATCGCGTTTCCCCGTTGCATTTGGATAGATAACCGCCGTCTAAAAAACTCTTTCGCCCGTTTCTGGCCTGTGCCAGTGGCGATACCGTTCCCGACCTTGTGCACTAGGTGCTTAGTCCTGTCACTCCATGGGCCGTGAATTTCGAACGCTGCAGCGGTGAAATTATATCTCGATTGTATCCAGGCGTGTTTTGCCAGTTTCCTCCTTTCCGCTTGCTCGGCTGCAGCACAACGTTAGCGAAGGTGCGCTCAATATACGAAGCTGCGAGTGTATCGACGCACGTCACATCCACTGCTAGCGGTTTTCCCCGTTCCCACGGTATAAGTGTGATCACATCCGGCCTCTTGTTATCTTTCACGGATAGACCTTTCGGCTCCATTCTTGCTGAGAAACCGGCCGTCTTTAATCCGCGAGTGAACTCCCCACTGATACCGTCGTATCGAGGCAGTCTTCCGACTGATCGTTTGCACAGGATCCCGTGTCGTCCTAAGTTGTCGACCATCTACCCCCATTCACACACGTGAGGTGTAACAATTGGTGTAACAACTGGTGCTCCGAAACGCAGCGCCACACTTATACGGAAGGCGTTGTTTTCCAGCAGGTTACCGAGACATGCTGCAGGCAGAGCATGGATCCATACTCCAGCTTCCGGGACGGATACCGCCTTCAGGTGGGCGACTTCCTCCTTTGTAGTCTTTAAACACAGGATGAACTCGCTAATCGAAATTGTTATCTTATAATGCATTGTTCGTATGAATACGAATTGCTGCCTTTAATAAGTATCATGTCACAAGTACAAACTTAGTACTAGAAAACATTATTCTTATAACAGTTATCTTGTAATTATTTTTGCTTCGTATGATACATGATACATCCGTTTCGTTGCATTTCTACGAGATGTAGAGTGTAGTCTGTTCACAAGCCTGCTACGAATACGCGACTATGCAGATAATAGTGAATCGTGCCGTGTTTGTGTTGAATAAGACTAATTTTGCAAGCAAAGAATGATGTACAAGCTTGCCGGTAATTTTCATCGCATCAGAAAAGCGAATTAGTACATAAAATCACGGGTCCCGCCAACTCCGTAATACGGCACGCCAGGCCACACTAGTTACGCTTTACATGCATTTGGCATGACTGATGCATGCCAAATATCGTATGTTATAAATATCGATATAACTACATTGCATAAACATTAATTTTTCTCCTTTTAATTATCGGAAATCCTGAAAGGAGTGAAATTTCTTAGTGTTGTAGACGTAGTGCAGCCGCAATCGTTTGTAGCGCAACTTCGCGCTAAATACGTGCTGTCTGTACCTTTACCATGGAAATTATGGGATAAGCGTTTACGTCGCTGGTGGAATACCGGCTCGACCACCGGTTGGCTGGCCCACTATCGGGCAGAAACCTCAACTTTACCGCAACTCGTTTTCTCTCATTGCAGTAAAGCAAGACGGTTCTGGTATCTTTCAGAATCTGCATGGAGCATTGATTTTAGCCTCGATGTTTTTTTGCACACGACCCTGATTTGTCTAACCCGTGATCCTAAGCGCCACACACGCTGGAGGAGGAGCATCTTGTTTTATAAACGTCAGTTTATTTGCCTTTCGTCATCGGCTGTCATAGTGGGCGAAGTTGTTTATTCAGATTCTAAACTCCTGCTTTATTTTTTACCCTTTTTAGATGTGGTGGTAGGCTGCCCTTCATTGCAGCAGCGGCGCATTCACGTCCTTAATGCTGCTGCATTGCTTATTGTCTTTTTTTTAAATCTCAAAAGCATGTGAAGAGAGAAGCGGCTCACGTACAGCGACAAAATCTTTCAACTGATTTCAACATATTGCGCCGTGGTGCAGTGGTACTGCCTACGCGGATCTAACGACGTAGCCGGGGTTCGATTCCCCCGACGGTGCATTTTTCAGCCGTTTCTCGGTTTCCCTCGGATTGTGTCCTGCTAATAAGCAGGTTATACAACGTTGCAGACGCTTGCATCAGCAATTATGACAATATGATCTTTAGCTCACATGCCCGGCATACACGGCCGCGAGTACAAGTAAAATATATCATTTTATAATACCGATGGACTGGTTGATTTGTGGATACATTTTTTGTTTGCGACAGTGTCTATGTTCCCACGCTGCCCAAAAAGGAAGCGTTTTTGTCCTGAGATTTAAACACTGATTTATTAATTGCCAGTACCAGTGCTTGTTAGTTCCATTGAGTAACACAGTCTTTTTCAACAGGCAGGTCTTTTTCAACATTCGAATGTTTTCCGGTCCGCAACATCGCCATGACCGCGACATTACGCTACTATCGGGAGCTGCGCTCGGGTGCACGAGAGGTGAACCATGGTAACACGGTGCTGGTGCAGCGCGACAACGACCAATGGTGGCTGGGGTACGTTCAGGATATTGACGGCGATTATTTTTTCATTGATTTTGATGCCAGCACAATCGAAGCGGAATGGATTCATTCCAAGCATTTGTGGCCGCATCCTGTGGTCTTTCTCAGTGTTCGGCCCTCGTCGCCCGGCATTGCTATGTACTTGGCGTTACAGGATGAAGCCGGTGGACCGTTCGTTTTCCGGCCAGTCAAGGTCATTGAGAATCTCTACTGCATGTACTGTGTTGTGAGTCTGGATCAGCCCAACCAAAGCATGGCACCTGAACGCCGCATCGTGCCCGTGCGCCAGCTGACCACCCATCTGCCACCACCCAGCACGGAGCCAAGTTTTTTTTTGACAGTCAACGGACGCATGTCATACAAGAAGCATATCATTGCTTTTGACGATGTAAAATGCGTGCCCGAGTATCTGGTTCGTATGTGCCAGTTAAAGTTCGGCCCGGGTGACCCGTGCAATATGAACTGCCAACTTGAAAGGGAGGGTGGAGCGTACGAATTCTATTTCCGCTGTATGGGAGATCACTATGGGGCGAATAGTGTGTATAACACTCCGTATCGGTTCCCTATCGGTTGCCATGTGTTCATGCGGGCAGAATATAACAGGATCATCCTCATTTGCGCCGAATTGCACGATGACGCAGCGGGACGAAGCATGTTCTGGGATGAAAATTCTCTTCGGGAAGCTTGCCGAAGCTACGTCGTCGAGCAGTTGTCGTGGGAATTTGCACAAGGCGGCAAAATTATGGAGGCGAACGATTCAGCGGCCGTTCTTCAATATGGGGAGTACATCGTAGCCGGGATAACGCACGCAATAGAGCACTGGTTGTCATTTAAACGATGAGGATAAAATGCTTTTCCTGTTGATAAAATGAATGAGTTGTAGTTTAATCTGTCATGGCAACTTGCCAGGCTGCACTAGAGTAAATAAACTCGGCGCACTGGGTGCCCTCCATGCCAATTGGGAGACCGTTTTTGTCCTAATTTGTGATTTTTTCGTTCGAACGTGCTTTAAGCCAAATAACTTTTCTCCATGGTGCTCATTTTATTTTATGCATATCGAAAGAAATCAGAAGTGTCGTGCAATTTTTGTTCCATTAAGGGAAGTGTGCCGGCGCATGGCATCGAATTCGTGTACATAAACAGAAACTTTCGTTTTCGCGCACTCCCAAACACTTTTTTATATTTGTTTACATCTTTAGCAAAATGAAGTGTATGTATTGGCGTGAAACCGTTTATGCGCGAAACATCCGGTTGGGGAGTTATGGATGAATAGAAATTCCAAACGTTAAACGCGTGGAGGTGTACCAAAAGTTTCATTATGAGCCGATTAACTTCAAAATTTGCGTAAAAACGCACATCAACATGAAGAATTATTTTAGGCCGATGTTTTTATTTCAAGTAAAGTTTCGTGTTTATGTGAAATTTAAAGATTATCGGTTCATAATAGATGAGACTTTTGGTGCACCTGCGCTTAAACTTTTGGAATTATATTACTTCCCAACCGAATGTTACGCTTACAAATGGGTTTCAAGCCAATGTATACAATCAGAGTCTGTCAATCAGTAAACCCTAGAATGTATTAAAAAGATGTCAAATGGTGTTTGGGGGAGCGAGAAAGCGAAAGTTTTCATACATCATCAATTTACATCGCGATGTTCATGAATTCGATAAGATACAAATGTATATCGAATTCGCTTCATTTATTTTTTTTTCAGAAACGGAGGAGATTCGCTTTTGCGACCTTCCAGTGGCGATTATTACCATCATCTTCCTCAACCTAGATGTCTTTTCTCAGTTACGGATGAGCCAGTAAGTTAATATTAGCTCCAGCTTACATTTTGCATTGATGATTGCACATACATTTTGTTAGTTGTATTCTCTTATCGCTTACACGCCTTACAGGGTCTGTGCGTTGTGGACGCTGATTTTGCATGACTATGTCCGGCATCGCCACATCATTTTCGTCGTCAATTCTTCAAACACAGCGGAACATTGGGGTAGCTCGATACAGTACGCTTTGAATTGTGTCACAAACTACAAACTAGCAGCGATCATGGAACGCACTGTTTCCGACGAGAAACGCGTGG